ACTTGAAATAGCTTTATTAACCACCAATATTTGGTCAATCACAGCTTGTTTGTCATTAAGCTTGTGGTCTTCCCAGGCTGTGCAAATACTGCCAGGACACACTTAGCTCTTAAAAAAAGCATTTAAGGAAAGACTGAATGTACCTCTGTCACAACCATCTCCCTGTGTACAGGCAGTGCCCAAACCTCGTGGATCTGCCCTTAAACAGCTGCTTCCTATTTCTTCCTTTAGAGAACAAATGCAATCCTTGGGAAATGCCCTGATAAAAAGGATAAATACAAATAATAGATGAAATTTCTTTTTTTTTGTTTTTTTGAGATTATATCTTAAAATTCCAAATGTGTCAAGTGAGGGTTTTTTTGTAAGTTAAGGCATGATATTTAATATTTTAATGGATATTATGGGGCCTTAACTTTCCTGCCTTTACAAGTGCATGTGAACTACAATTAACTGAACTGTATTTGGCTACAGCTATAAAGGAGTGGGGGCAATGCAGGAGGAAAGACAAAAATCTTGATTTTGTACCAATGAAATCTTCTAAATATGATCTTGAAAGGCAGAAAATGTAGGGAAGGGATGTCCAGTGAAAAAGGAGCTGGGAATGACATGACCTAAAATCATTGGTCACAAGAGTAGAGCATGGAAAGGCCCTTTAAAGTCTCCTTAAGGATCAGCCCTGTGAAAACTGCTAAAATTGTCCAAGTCAGGTACGTGTTTCCCTGCTCCAGAGCAGTATTTCTGTTTCAGATGTTGAATTCCAGTGGCTCCCTGCATTCCCATCTGCTGCTTATCAAAATTGGCTGCACTCTGTGCATGGCAAGAGACTCCTCAGGCTCCACTAACAGTGTTAATTCACATTCAGGGCAGCTTTCACTCTCAAATATTCTGCTTCAAAGGAGATTACTCCTAGGACTGGGTGAACCAGCAAAGGTATTAAATTGGAACTAAGTCTAATTACCTGTGTTGTAATGATTTTGTAATAATCAGCATATTTTTGCATTTCAATAATGTTTAGTTAATATTTAATAATATTTATTTAGTTGGTCTCTTTTGGGCTTTCATAAATATCAATATATTCCTTAAATTATTTATCTGCTCTGATCTTCTGTACATCTCTAAATTTCATCTCTTACAGTGGCTTGCAAGCCCATAAAGCCAAAGCAATAAACTCCAGCATATGAAGCTCAGTGTTCAATTTTCCCCTGTTCCTTTCATTTAAAAAAAAAAAAAATCAATTGCTATCCACATTTATCTAATGAAAGAGAGCACCACAGGGCACAGAATCCAGTTCTGGTCCTGCTTGTTAGAGATCACAACCTGAAGCCATCTGTCTGATTAAAATACATTTTCCCTGTTCTTTCATGTCATTTCATTTGCTTCTGACTCAGTGTATGGTTCAATGTTTGCAACAGACAATGATTAAGGATGGGTGAGCCCCAAAAGGAAAAACAAGAACAGGCCTGAACTCTTACCTGAATCTCCTATGGCATGTTTTCTTTTTTTTAAGGCAGGTAAGTGGGTGGAGAATTATTGGAGAAAAAAATTAGTTTAAATTTCGATTCAGCAACTGCTGGCAGGAAAGATTTGGCAGAAAAGCTGGTGTTAGCAAATGCTCCCAAAATAAACCCCACAGGTTGCTCTCCACAGTGTCACTCGTGTTTTGTGTAGATTCATCTGTGTGGACAATGAAATTCAGTGTTTGGCAATTGTTTGTGAAAGAACTACAGGATGAGGAACTGCCTTTTCCCGAGTCCCATTCTGCTTTTATTGGAAAAGTTGTGTTACATCTCATGTGCAGGTTTGGGTCTCGAGTACATATTTAATTGAATTTTAAATCATCCCTAAATCACAGAACATTCTGAGTTGGAAGAGACCCACAAGGATCATCGAGTCCAGCTCTTCATTGAATGGTCCGTGTGGGATCAAACCATCCAGGGGTTGTTTCACAGCACTACAGAACTGGGGCAGAGGGAAAACAGGACCAGCTGGAGAATATTCTGAGAATTACACACAAAAATTTGAAGACTTACTCATGACTCCATTCCATAATCCCATTACACGTGAGAGCGGTGGAGATGTCGGGAACAAGACGTCCCTGTAAGAAATCAGCAATCCAAGAGGGTCCAAAGCCTTTACCAGGAATAAGGAAACATTTCTGACCCTCTCTCCAACACAGGCTCATTTCTTCTCTCAGGGCATGAATGTTATGAAACACAGCAGGGCAAAAAAATGAACACAGAAATTGGAGTGCTCCTATTTGGAAATAACTGAAATCTGTGCCATGTGCTGAGGGAGGGAGCTTGGTGTGAGCTCAGAGATACTGCTGGACATAAGAGAATACACACATGGGGTCAGTGTTATAAATGAAAGCCACAGCAAACAGAAATTGGAGGAGTTCAGTGGGCACAAGATCCCTACATTTTATGGTCTCCAAAAAAAGTGATTCTGAAACAGTGAGTCAGAATTTCAGGGCCAGGAATTCCCCCCATCCTTTTCTGAATGTGTAGGATGGGCCGAACCTTCCTGATAGAGCTGTGCTTGTGAAGCAGCAAAAAGGGAAAAATCCTGAACCACAGAATCAGAGAATATCCTGAGCTGGGAGGGATGCACAAAGATCATCAAATCCAATTCCTGATCCTGCCCAGGACATCCCAACAATCCCAGAAGTGTTGTCCAAATGCTCCTGGAGCTCTGGCAGCCTTGGGGCTGTGCCAACCACCCTCTGGGGGAAGAACCTTTTCCTGAGATCCAACCTGACCCTGCCCTGACACAGTTTTGTGCCATTCCCTCATAAAGTGGTGTGTGAGTCCCTGGAGCCTCGGAAAGGCCAGCTGAGAGGAGATTCATCCAGAATGAATGATCCCAAAGGCCCAGGCAATCAGTTTTTATCCTTATGAACATCTTTGCTCCTGAGAAGGACCCCAGGACCCCTGGCTTTCTAAATCATCCAAACCAAGAGCAATTCCATCCTTTATCTAGAAGATAGACCTGAAAGTTAACGATTACTCTTCCTCTCTCCCCCTGTGCCACCCACCCCACAACTAAAAAACCTCAAAGGAAACCCACCAGTGGGGTGTAGGCAAGGGAGAGGCAGGTTTTTAGTGTCAGGTAGGAGGGAAACCCTTGTTAATGAGAACACTTTAACTGTGATCTTTTCTTTTTGCCACAAGCCTGAGGTTCAAGGGTAGTCAGAGACAACAAAGAGCCCTGCCAAGGTCCCAGCTGAGCTCTCTGTGTGTCACTGATAGCTCCGGGATGGGGAGCAGGGAAACCAGGAGCCTCACAAAAGTGTTGGGTTATCTTTACACGCAGACAGCCAAGTAATCTCTTTTTTTATCAGATCTGAGAAGAAAGGGAATCCCTCCTGTGTGTTCCCTTCAGGCTTTTATCTCTCCTTTTTCTTTTTTTCTTTTTTTTTTATAAAGGCTCAGGCTACAACTCTGCTCACCAGAGATTTCTCTTGATTTCTCCACTCTTCTTCCTACGGAGTGAAAAAGGATGCAAACGAGATCACAGACTTGAAAAGATGGGAATATACCAGATCTTGTGTTTGTTTAAATCTGAATTTTTCAGCTGATTCCAGTGGAGTGGGGTCAATTTACACTAACTTAACCAAAACCCGCACACGAAATGTAACACATTAATTTGTGTGTAGGAGTTACTAGAATTTCAGCCCTGCCTGTGATTCCCCCGATTTGATGTAAGTTTGCTACTATTTCACAACGTTAAAATAATGGGGATGAGGGGGATTAAAACTCCCGCTAACGTGCTCTGCTGATGCTGTAAGGAAAATATTCTGCTTTCTGAGTCACTTGCCCCGAGCTGCCTCTCTCTTTGACTGGCTCAGGGGTTTCCTTCTTTAGCCATAAATTGCATGCAAATTCTTTTTGTGTGTGTGTGTGTGTGCTGTGTATGACAGCGTGTGTCTGGGAGGGTGCGTGTGCGTCTTTCACAAGCAAAGCCAAAGCGAGAGGCTGTTCCTTTAAAGCAACACTGAGGGGGGAGGAAAAAAAAAAAAAAAAAGCCTTCAGGCGTCCTATTACAGTGGAACGAGCCAAGGATCAGGATTTGCAGCTCAGCTATATAAACCCGGCAGAAATCGGGCTGATGTGACCAGTTTGCCTTGCTGTCAAAGCTCTCCGTGGTTCACACGCTCACCCGCGGCATCAGGCGACGCAACTTCGCTGAGTTTTGACAGGACGGCAACGGAGTCGGGAGCCGGCAGCTGACTGAACATCTTATTTATTTCATGGAGACTGCTCCCAGCGGGATCTAAGCTCTGGCAGAGGCTGCAAGGTAAGTCTGCTTCCTTCCTGAATAAAATAATAATAATAAAAAATATTCAGGAGCTCTTCCCCCCAGTGACCCAGTGTTCTGTGATGACTCCCATCGGATCTTATCAGGGAGTGGTTGGGAAGGGGAGCACGCCTGGCTTTGAGTTTGTCTTTATTGTCCGGTGTAATAATGTCAGAAATGTCCCGCTCTGATCCAATGAATGAATGGAGCAGGAGTTAGTTCAGTGCTGGACATCCACAGAAATACAGGCGGAAACTTAATTGACAGGAAGGGTAGAAAAGCAGATTTTGGGTTTCCTCTTGGCTGCTGGAGTAATAGAAATATCTCCCCCATCCTCACTTCATGAACCAGACGAAACCCACGTGCAGGCTCTTCACCCTCCCAGCTAACTCTTCTTGCTGAGCTCTTTGTGACTGGGTGAGAGTCGGGCCCTTCTCTGTGTTAATTTACTCTCTGCACACTCCTTTTCACCGGAGCCTTTGTCACCTTCCTCCCCACCCCCCGCGGGGCTCCAGTTCCTTTTAAAACTCCGGTAACATCAGTCTGCGGCGGGCAGCAAAAGACAAAGGAAGATTCAGGTGGTACCTCATTGCCGGTACTTTAACGGGTGGGTTCTGGGAGCAGGAGGGTGAAATTCCCCATCATCGTGGAAAAACAGACCCTTACTTTATGTCTTGGCTACTTGCTCCCTGGTGCTCTGAGATTTTCTGCATGACTGGGTCTGCACTTACTGCTCAGGCTCAAATTGGCTTAAAAAGGAGAACTGACTGGGAGAAGGTGAGCACACTTAGATTCGTTTAGCAGTTAAGCCCACTTACCGAAGACTTTGTGTTACATCACCTTTGCAGAGTTTTCCCTGCCTGATTTCCTCTCCTGGCTACCAGGAGAGAGAGTTTTTGGCAGTTATTCTAAACTTCTGTGAAGTCTCTGTCGTGCTGTGGAGGAGAGTGATAAGTTCACATTGAAATGATGGTGACGTGTCCTCTTGGCCAGTGGAGACACTGTAAAATTAAAAAGCATAATAAAGATACTTATCAAATTTTTCTTCATAAAATATTATAAACCAGTGAGGTGGATGTGATTCTATAGACTGGGTAAAAGCCATATTGTCCAGCTGTTGTGTTTGGTTTTCTCTCCCAGTTTATTTTTTTTTTTAATCACACTGGGCATTCATTTTACACACTTCCTGATTAATGTTATACGTGGGGTTAGTCTTTTTGTGCTGGGGTTGTGCTTTTGCCTTTTAAAGATGTTTCTCTTGATTTGTGAGACTTGATTTTAAAGGCTTTTCTCTATGACTTGTGAAATCATAGAATCATAGAATGGTTTGTGTCGGAAGGGACCTTACAGTTCACCCAGCTCCAACTCCCTGCCAGGGGCAGGGACACCTTCCACTAGAGCAGTTTGCACAGTTTTAAGGGTGCTGTGGTCTGAGAATGAGCTGGGACCAGTGACAGCCCTTTGAATCCTTGGAACTCTTGCAGAAATGTGTTGTGGTGTCTTTTGGGGTGTTCCTTACTGCTGCAGAGAGCTCAGGAGCAAATCCAATCAAATGGATTTTATCAAATGACATTGTTTAGCCAAAGGAAGAGAATTGGGCTGTGGGCAGTTCACCTTCTCTGGGAGTGAATTTGGAGAGGGGCTGGAAGAGTTATCAGGGTGTTCCCAGTGCAGGTGCTGCACCTGTGCCCAGGTACCCAGGCAAGGATGTTCACCTGAGCTGGGCAGGGACAGCAGCAGGGAAGGGGCAGAATGAGAGGCACTGCCTGTCCCCCTCACTGACCTGTCACACTCACTATCCTTAAACAGCAAAATTGGCAATATTTTCCCATATTTTTTCCTCATTAATTTTATCCTCTGGCTCCTTTCAGCCCAGAGAAAATTCTTTGCAAGTTCCAGTCCTTAATCCTCTAACTACAGTTACTCTATCAGCGTTTCCAAAGCTGTGGAAGAGCCAAAGGGATCTGCTGAAAAGCCCCCAGCCTGCAGATGAGAATGTCATGTCTCAGCTGGAGAGGAAGCAGAAATTCTGCTAAAAAAATCTCTTCCAGGTACATGGTGGTCATAGAGAGAGAGAACCAACCAGACCCAAATCTCTTGTTGAAATAATGATGCCTAAAGATGCTCAAACTTGCTGGGAATATCCCTAAGCGTGCTTAGCTGGAGACTTTAGGCTCCAGCTAAAACTTAGCTGGAGACTTTTTGTTAATGGAAATCTATTCTCTTTTTTTATCATTAGCATTTCTCCTCAGCGTTCACTTAAACTTAACTATCGTGTTGCCATAACAGCATTTCTAAAGGTGTTTGACATTCAGCTCAGCTGGCTTATTTTTCATATTACTTCTTTTCATAAAGCATCTAAAAAAAGCCAAAGTCTATTCATGTATCAAGATGTTCTGACTTGCTATAAAGAGACTGTCAAAGTTTGTTCTTGAGTATTGTTTCACTTTTTGATAAGAAAATGAGATTAAATGGCAGAGTCTGTTCTTCTCGGGTCTTTTTCATCCTTTTCAAGAGGGAAGCAGAACCAAAATGCAAATGTGCAGTGAAACAGTGATGTTTGAACCCAGAATTTTAACCCTTTCCTCCCTGCTGGTAAAATAATTTGAAAAACTAGACCTGCTTGGGCAGTTCTGTGCTATTTTCCTGGTATAACACAAAGGTACCTCTGTCCATCCAGCTTTGTGTGCTGAGGCTTGAGTGGTGCTAAAAGGCATTTAATGGTACTGGGCTGTATGAGGGGTGTCTGCTGTAAATGGATGTCCTATAAGGGAGAAACAGCTTCCATTCAGTTGGTTATTTCCACTGGGGAACCCTGGTGTCTGTGCTTGAACACTGAATTTGGAAATAAGCCTAAATGGAGATGGGTGGTGTCTGCTTCATTGTCACCTGTCCTAACTCTGGGACATATATTGAAACACAAGAAATTCAGATTGGTTGAAAAAAAGACTCTAATTTGAAGCCTGTGGGTTGATATATTTGTCCTTGGACAGGTGCCATCCCAGTCTGCTGAGCTGAGGGGCCATTGACACTTTTAAGGTCCAGTGGCTCATAAAACTCGAGGCTTAGGAATGGCTGATTTACATCACTGGAAAGTTAGAAATCTCAGCTTTCCAGTAATAAAAAGGGATTTGTTTTGAACAGTGGCAGTTTGAGATATAGGGCTTTAAAACTGGGCTCTGATTTACCAACAGGCACTTTCTCAGACTTAATTTCTGGGGTGAGTTTAGCACACCCTTCTCAAAGACTGATCTCTGTACCAAACCCTGTGGTTATAAACTACAGGAGTCTGAAACTACTGTAAAATGTAATAGCTCCCCTTGGTTGCTTTAAGGAATTTGCTGATGTAATTTTGCAGAAGAATCATTGTTGCTGAAGCACGAAACTAAGGAAAACAGCAATCAGAGGGAATTAAGTTGAGTAAGTGTTTGATCCTCACCCAGGCTCAGAAATTGCAAAAGTAGTTCAATTGTAGGACTAGTTACTAATGAGCTCTGGACAGGAAACCTCATAACTTGAGCTCAGGAGCTGACAAACAAGGCATGTGTACAGATTACTTATGAATGAATATGCAATTTAATTAATTAAACTGCTTGATATCAAGGTGGCCTTGCTGTCCATGGCTTTGGTTGGTTTGTGCAGGGCTTTTGAGATGCTGATGTAACTATTGCTGTGGCATTTTAGGGCTTAGTTGTAGTAGAAGAAGTTTAGACATAATAAGTGATGCTCTCTGCCACAGAGAGCTTACAATTGCTATTATTAGCTGTTCAAAAAAAGTTCTTTACAGTGGAGAGAAAAAAGAAGGAAGAAGCAGAAGAATGAACAACCTCAAGAGACAATTTTGAGCCGTCGCAGTTTCCGCCGAGCTCTGGGGTTTGTCCAAGTGTGAAACCTCCCCTCACTCAGTGCTCACTGTCCACTCGTGTGTCCAACCTCTGTCCAGTCTGAGCTGAAGTTAAATACCTTCCACATGTGGGAAAAGTTAGAAACTGGGCATTCTTCCAGCTACTGAAATCCTTCTGAAATCCCTCAGTGGCTGATGTAACTGAGCGGCGTGGAACGGGCAGACTGGGAGGAGGAGCCAGGGAGGGATCCTGCCTGACAAGGGATGGCTCTTGATCCTGCAGAAAGAGTTTGGGCACTGGGAGAAGGAAGTTTGGATAACTTGATGTCTCTTTTGAACACTGAATGAACGATACATATGCCCTTATAACTAGACATGGCCCCACTATAACGTTTTCTGGATTTCTTTATGTATCGTTTTTCTCTCTCTCTTATATCCTGTCTATCCTGTTGCTGGCAGAACAACAGCAAAAAACACCCCTACCTATAGATATCCAGGTGTAGAATTTAAAGAATACTAGTTAATATAAATACATATAGCATACCCCTGACAAACCAATGTGAGCTTTTGCTGCTCAGCTCGTGGAGTCAATGGGAATAACTCTCCATTTCTGATTTCGTTTGGCTTCTGCATGAGCGAATCACCCAAGACAAATCCATCCTGAGCTGATCTTGTCGCAAGGAATCTCTCCGGATTCGCATCCTTAATTGTCTGTAGTTTCAATTAAACCAAGGTGGGATGCTGCCAAGTTTTCAGAACCTCCGACTGGAGCGTCCCGGGGCACGAATAGCCCGTGGCATTTTGTATTCTTTGGGCAGCAGGGGACAAGGTTGCCAAGTTTGCATTCAGTCATCCATCACATATTAGCCCACTGGAGGTCCATTCTTCCCTAGCAATGGGGGAGCTCTGCTTCCTACTTAGAAAGATTACTCACACAGAAAGCCCTTTCCCCCAAAACCAGGCAAGAGAAAGGGACCTTTCTTCAATTCAGAGAAACGCTCCCTTTCCAAACTCCCCACAAAAATGATATTGTTTCATGCTTAGAAAACATATTCTTTTTAGTAATTGAGTCGAAAGTGCGGGGTGGTAGGACAGAAATCTTTAATACAGATTTTCAAAACAATTCCTTGAATCACAGGCACAACAAAGGTCTATTGTAGTGGGCTGGCTCTTCCCATGCCAGGCTGTGGCATTGACTATATGTGTGCAGAGATGTTGGCCAGGGTACTCCCAGGGATCTGAAATGGAGAGCCTGGGGAAATTCCACTTTAATGGTTTCCCTTTAACTGTGCCCAACACGCACCAGAACTTGATAAATCCGTAAACTGGAAAAATTACAAATGCTAATTTTGTAATTAGGATATATTTCAAATGAAGATATTTACCATAATATGAATCTAAACTGTCATGGTTCTTCTTTAAATTGATGTTCTTTTACACCATTCTGGCAGCACAAAGCTAAAAAGGGATATAAATTCTTCTGAATATACATGAAAATTAAACTGTGAGACCGTTTCCCTGTGTGCCCATCAGAACCGGCTAAAGAGTTATTTCCACCATTAAAGAACTCCTGCTGGAAAGGGACTATAAAGAGATTTATTTCCAAGAAAGGAGGTAACTTTCCATTCCCAAGAAATCAAAAGAACTGGAAGCAAACAGGCGTTTTTCAGTGAGTTTTGAGCTTATCTCAAGCCCAGGATGCAGAGTGAGCAGGTGAGAAGAGGCAGCTGGGAGCTGAGCACTCTTGGGACTGTGGTTTTCTGCCTCTTTGGGTTGATGAAAAGCCTTTCTTTGGACAGGAAAGGGTCTCTTTGAGTGTGTGCTGTGCACTTCAGCACAAGACCTTAGTGGTTTATCTGCCCTCCTGGCCAGGCATGATTTCAGCTTTTCAGAAGCCAGTTTGTCAGGCTTTCAAAAGCAGCTCAGTGGCCAC